CAGCAAAGACACTCTTGCTCTAGAAAACAGTGGTTCAAATATTGGCAAACTCAAAGCTAGACTAACACAGAATGCCCTATGTGGCACTGCTCTTAAGGCTATGATAAAATTTGGAGCAGGGACAGAATGATTTGGTAAGGGTTTTGCATGGGGTGGCCTTCTCAAAACATAACCATTCTGCTAAATGAATTGTACTGGCTGCCTATTAGCTTCTGGATCAGAGTTAAAACTTCTGATGGTATAATGCCTTAAATGACCTGGTTAATTCCTTTGTAGACACAATTGACACCTGAGAATGCAGAGTTGGACAAGACTAGATTTAAGGCAAAGGGAAAACCTTTACACTTACTTATTCCAAACTAGTATAACTACATCTCTGAATTCTTTCCCCAATATCAGACAAGCTCTAACAACTATTATTTATTGATACGTTTTGATTATTTTCTTCTTTTTTGCAAGCATTCCCTATGCGTTCCAATCTACCATCTACTTTATGAACAATGTAAACATTGCATTTTCTATTTTATGACTCAGCTTACATCTTCAAATATAAACAGTTTATAAATAAATTAATACATTAATAAACTAGACCCATTGTAAATAATGGGGAAATGTCTTTGCACCAATTAAATACCAATTCCCAACTTCATCTCTGTCCTACGCATCTTCATAAAGGGACTGGACCTGATCAGCACCTTTGAGGTTGTTTATAGAAGACAACATAACTTCCCTCGTGGCTGGCAGGAGCTTGTAAAGCCAAGATCTGAATGTAACACAATGACTAGTGCTATTCTAACTGGCCAAAATGGCCAAAGATCAACTGAGCCAAGTCGAGATGCATGGTACCCAAAGCCAGGACAGTTCTTTGAGCACATGACACTGACATTCTGGCAAACATCTTTTCCTTTTCCTGACAGTAGAAGCTATAATGAAACAAGTGACAATTTGCTTCTCTTGTATAATACCCAAAAATCTGCTGCCTCAGGCAGTCACTTCATTTGGCCTACAGATAGCACCAGCTCTATTTCCTCCATGGGTACTTGTTCATATAATGCAGCATTTCTCAACCTGGGGGTTGGTACCCCTGGGGGAGGGTCGCAAGGGGGTGTAACAGGGGTCATCAAAGACCATCAGAAAACACTGTATTTTCTGTTGATCATGGGGGTTCACTATGGGAAGTTTGGCCCAATTATATCGTTGGTGGGCATACTGAGTGTTCATGCCAACTTTGGTCCAGATCCATCATTATTTGAGTCCACAGTGCTTTCTGGATGTAGGTAAACTACAACTCCAAAACTCAAGGTCAGTGCCCACCAAACCCTTTGCAGTATTTTCTGTTGGCCATGGGAGTTCTGTGAGCCAAGTCTGGTTCAATTCCATTGTTAGTGGAGTTCAGAATGCTCTTTGGTTGTAGGTTAACTATAAATCCCAGCAACTACAACTCCCAAATAACAAAATCAATCCCCCCTCCCCCCACAGCCCCACCAGTATTCAAATTTGGGCATATCGGGTATTTGTGCCAAATTTGGTCCACTGAATGAAAATACATCCACAACATGAGGAAGTGTACTAAGGGGTCGCAGCATTAGGATGGTTGGGAAACACTGATATAATGCCTGTCACAGGAGCGTAACAAGCATCACACATTGATTGAACTGTCAAAGCTATAGAGAATAATTGAGGGTTCACGCAGGGTCACTGGCTGGGTCTTCAATGAAGAAGTCAAGCCATGACAATTTGCCAATAAAGGATGATATAGAAACCAAGACACCCACTTAAGAGAGTGGCAATGTCCTTACACCAATATCTGGATTTGCTCCAAAGGGAAATTCTTTTCAAATCTGTAAGGCTCAAGTGGTCGTTCAGAAAATGCAAGGACACAGCTATTAATATGCGTCTCAGAGAACAGATGAAATCTTGTTGTCCATCAAGACCCAAATAATAAGCTGCGTCAAAGAAACCCAGATGGCCCAGATGTGCCTTTACTGTATACAGGAAGAGCAAATAATGGTCAGCCAATTTGACTAGAGGACAGCATTCTTGTGTCTGAATATTAAATGGGCACTGCCATACCAAACACAGTGCTGCTCAGTACATCATCCAGTCTAGTCCACTTTCCTGCATCAAATCTTACTGTGCCACTAAATGCAGAACAGAAATCAGGAAAAACGTCCTGTTATGACAGAGATCCTTTATTTGGGACAGGATTATTCAATGCGGCTGACAGTGCCACTTGCATAATTCAGTCACAGGGTATCTTGTTTTGTCTGTCCTTTGAAACTGCCTAGGAAAATCACTTGCCTCACACAGAAACTTGGTTCAGTTTTGGTGCCCAACTCATGAGCTCTCTCACACACATAATTCAATCTCCAAATAAAATTTGGAGCTGTGTTGTCGAAGGCTTTCATGGCCAGAATCACTGGGCTGTTGTCATATTTCCAGGCTGTATGTCCTTGTTCCAGAAGCATTCTCTCCTGACATTTCATGTGCATCTATAGCAGGTATCCAACCTGGACACAGCATATTATTTGAGAACACAGAAATGCTGGAGCACTCTCACAACTACCATGTCAAACTACACAGAGAAGCCACTGAAATCCACAGGCATGTGGACAATTTCAACAGAAAGGAAAAAAACAATGAAAATGAACAAAATCTGACTACCAGTATTTTAAAAACTCTGAAATCAGGACAGTAAATAAAGAAGAACACTCAGAAAACAGAAGACTTCCAGACATGAAATAATCAGGGCCAGCTAACAACTAGAAGTTTGAAAACATGCAAATGTTAGTAGATCAATAGGTACCGCACTGGCAGGAAGGGCACGGTGCTCCATGCAGTCAATCTGGCCACATGGCCTTGGAGGTGTCTACAGACAACGCCAGCTTTTCGGCTTATAAATGGGGATGAGCACCACTCCCCAGATTCAGACACAACTAGACATTATATTAGGGGAAACCTTTACCTTTAACAACTCCCAACAAAGGATTCCCCCAGGCAGGCAGCATCCAGGCTTTGAAACTGCAAGTCCATTCAATGCTGATCAAGGTGGCCAATTGCAACATTCACACCTGCCTCAAACTGGTAAGAGTTTGTTTCCCACCCTGGGCATTCCACATATATATATACCACACTTGCCTAGTTTCCAACAGAACTCACAACCTCTAGGCATGCTTGCCATAGATGTGGGTGAAACGTCAGGAGAGAATGTTTCTGGAATATGGCCATACAGGCCAGAAAACTCACATCAACCCTGTATCTTGGGGCTCTTTAAATAGTCATACATATGAGTTGCAGGCACTGTCTGCACTTGAGAAAGCCACCGATGCCAGTTGCAAGTTATGTCATCATAAATGCACCAATCTCCAATGGAAGGTGTCACGAGGCTTTGTTGTTATTATTGATTACACACAAGCGCATTCTCAAGGGACAGGGATGGTGACATCACTTGCCAAAGCTGCTGTGCTTTTGATTTGTGTGCCTTCAAGTCCTTTCTGAGTTGTGACAACCCGAAGGTGAAGGCATCACTTAGCAGAATTGGCTCAGAGGGGGTTTGCTCTTGCTTTCCTCTGAGGCTTGTCAAGCGTTACCATCACACTATGCCAAGAGGTCTGGGACTGGGGAAAAGGATAAAATAAAGTACTTCCTCCCACCTTCCCCATTCTCAAAAGATCTCTTTGGCACTTGCAGCCTTCAGTCCCACCAGAAAAGCTTCAAGGGAGATACCCCTCTCCCCTGCCATGGCATGCATCTTATGATTACGATTATGATCAAAGGCTTTAATGACCAGAATCATTGGGTTGTTGTAGGTTTGTCGGGCTATATGGCAATGTTCTAGAAGCATTCTCTCCTGACGTTTTGCCTGCATTTGTGGCAGGCATCCTCAGAGGTTGTGAGGTCTGTTGGAAACTAGGAAAATTGGGTTTATATATCTGCAGTTTCCTATTTTTCCAATATAGCCTTAAAAACCTACACCAGCCCAATGATTATGATTATTTGTATTGTCGAAGGCTTTCATGGCCGGAATAATTGGGTTGTTGTAGGTTTATCGCGCTATATGGCCATGTTCTGGAAGCATTATCTCCTGATGTTTCGCCGGCATCTATGGCAAGCATCCTCAGAGGTTGTGAGGTCTGTTGGAAGCTAGGAAAATTTATATATCTGCAGTTTCCTAGTTTCCAACAAGACTCTTCATAAAATCATAGAACCATAGAGTTGGAAGAGACTTCATGGGCCATCCAGTCCAACCCCGTCAAGAAGCAGGAAAATTGCATTCAAAGAACCCCCGACACATGGCCACCCAGCCTCTGTTCAAAAGCCTCCAAAGAAGGAGCCTCCACCACACCCCGGGGCAGAGAGTTCCACTGCTGAACACCTCTCACAGTCAGGAACTTCTTCCTGATGTTCAGATGGAATCTCCTTTATTGTAGTTTGAAATCTCCTTGCTTGTAGTTTGATGATCTATGACAGGCATCTTCTGAGGATACCTGCCATAGATGCAGGCGAAATGTCAGGAAACTAGGAAACTGCAGATATATACACCCCATTTTCCTAGTTTCCAACAGACCTTTCAATCTCTGATGATGCCTGCCATAGATGCAGACGAAACGTCAGGAGAGAATGCTTCTAGAGCATGGCAATATTGTGCAACGATTTTGATTATTTGTACTGTCGAAGGCTTTCATGGCCAGAATCACTGGGTTGTTGTAGGTTTTTCAGGCTATATGGCCATGTTCCAGAAGCATTCTCTCCTGACGTTTCGCCTACATCTATGGCAGGCATCCTCAGAAGTTGTGAGGTCTGTTGGAAACTAGAAAAATGTTGTTTATATATCTGCAGTTTCTTAGTTTTCCTAGTTTCCAGCAGACCTCACAACCTCTGAAGATACCTGCCATAGATGGAGGCGAAACGTCAGGAAAGAATGCTTCCAGAACATTGCCTGAAAAACCCACAACAACCCAGTGATGATGCTGATTGTTTGATGGCTCCCCTCTACTCACATAATGCTTGGAAGGGCTTCTCCTTTTCTCCACGTCCACCACGTTAGCATCCAGGACGCTGTAGGACAGCATCTTGGTCCCGTCCAGGAAAACCAGGAAACGCACACTCCGTCCAGATGTATCCTTGGATGTATTCCTCCAGAAGGATTTCCTGGGGTGCCTCCTCGCCCCCGCCTTTGCTTTCCTGCTCCGGCGGGGAAGGACAACCCCAAACTTTGCAGATCTTTGCAGAAGGCGAGCTTTCAATAGGCAGGGTTTGTATCAAAGGGGAGAATGCCTCCCGGCGCTGCAGGCATGCCGGCGAAGTCCTTGCAGAGTCCCTTCCAAGAGAAGCCTAGCACTGCGTTGAGGGGAAGCGCGAGGGAATGGAGTCAGTCCCCTCAGGCAGTTACTTCCCGGAGTGTTTGTTGTGTTTGTTTATACGTCTCTTTCTCTGGAGATGCCTGCCTGCCTTCGCTTCCCCCCTGCCTCCCTCCTTCCTTTTCCCTTCCCTTCCAATGCTGGGCTGTTTGATCTCCGGCTTCCTTAGAGGAGCCTTTGGCAACGCTCCTTGGTGCAGCTGCTGCTGTTTCTGCTGCTTGAAGGGAAGGCAAGCAGGGAAGGAAGGAGGCAAAGGCAAGGCAGGGCGAGGGGCTCCTTCTCCTCGCTCGCCTCTTCGCCGGACCAGGCGAGGGGCTGGACTTCAAGGAGGAGGAGCGGAGGGAAGGAGAAAGCCGGGTCTCCCCTCTCTTTCTTTCTCCTAGGGAAGCCCCCCTCCAGCCCGGCTCCTCCCCCTCAGCTCCTCCTGCCCGCGGGGAGCCTGAGGAGATTGGCAAGGAAGGCCGAGGGCAAGAAGGGATGCCTCCCGCCTCTGGAAAGCCCCCTCCCTGGCTACCAGGGCCTCGTCTCAGGCCGGACAGAAGCGCCCGCTTTGCGCGCCAAAGAAAAGCTCCCCGGGACTTCTAAGTCGGGAGGGAAAACTTCCAGCCTAAGGGACACCCTTGTTCCTGCCAAGTTTAGGGTGCATCTCCCGGTGACGCAATGGGTGAAGCCAGGCACCCCCAAACTCCGGCCCTCCAGCTTTTTAGGCCTTCAACTCCCAAAATTCCTGACAATTAGGGCTTTTGGGAGTTGGGGGACCAAACAGCTGAAGGGCCGCAGTTTGAGGATGCCTAGGTTAAACYCTTCTTGCCGGCAGGACTGAAGACTGAGGTTCGAATCGGGGAAGAGCGCGGATGAGCTCCCTCTGYCAGCTCCAGCTCCCCATGCGGGGACATGAGAGGACCTCACTACCTCTGAGGATGCTTGCCATAGATGCAGGCGAAACGTCAGGAGAGAATGCCTCTAGACCAGGGGTCCTCAAACTAAGGCCCGGGGGCCRGATRYGGCCCTCCAAGGTCATTTACCYGGCCCTYGCTCAGGGTCAACCTRAGTCTGAAAYGACTTGAAAGCACACAACAACAACAACAACAACARCAACAACAACAATCCTATCTMATGAGCCAAAAGCAGGCCCACACTTCCCATTGAVATACTAATAAGTTTATATTTGTTAAAATTGTTCTTCATTTTAATTATTGTATTGTTTTTAAGTRATTTTTGCACTACAAATAAGATATGTGCAGTRTGCATAGGAATTCATTCATTTRTTTTTTTTCAAATTATAATCCGGCCCTCCAACAGTTTGAGGAACTGTGACCTGGCCCTCTGTTTAAAAAGTTTGTGGACCCCTGCTCTAGACCATGGCCATATAGCCCAAAAAAACCTACAACAACCCAGAAGTCTTCCTTACTTMGGTGATCCCTCGTTGTCTGAGTAGGATTGGTGTAGTGGCGGTGGGTCCGTAGGTGACTGTGGAGACCTATTCTTGATCTGCATCTTCTCCCGCAGTGAGGGCATTGGTTTCCACATGGAAGGTGGTCCTGGGGTTGGCTTGATGAGCTTTCCTCTTGGCACATTTCTCTCTTTCGCCCTCCATTCGTGCCTCTTTGAATTCTACAGCACTGCTGGTCATAGCTGACCTCCAACTGGAGTGCTCAAGGGCCAGGGCTTCCCAGTTCTCAGTGTCCATGCCAGAGTTTTTAAGGTTGGCTTTGAGACCATCTTTAAATCTTTTTTCCTGCCCTCTGACATTCCTTTTTCTGTTCTTGAGTTCGGAATAGAGCAACTGCTTTGGGAGACGGTGGTCAAGCATCTGGACAACATGGCCGGTCCAGCGGAGTTGATGTTAGAGGACCATTGTTTCAATGCTGGTGTTATTTGCTTCTTCCAGCACGCTGACTTTTGTCCGCTTGTCTTCCCAAGAGATTTGAAGGATTTTCTGGGGGCAGCGCTGATGGAATCGTTCCAGGAGTTGCATGTGGCGTCTGTAGACAGTCCACGTTTCGCAGGCATATAGCAGGGTTGGGAAGACAATAGCTTTATAAACAAGCACCCTGGTATCCCTTCGGATATCCCGGTCCTCAAACACTCTCTGCCTCATTCGGAAAAAATGCTGAACTCACAGAGCTCAGATGGTGTTGTATTTCAGTGTCAATGTTGACTTTTGTAGAGAAGTGGCTGCCAAGGTAGCGGAAATGGTTAACATTTTCTAATGTTACACCATTAAGCTGTATTTCTGGCATTGGAGAGGGATTGGCTGGTGACTGCTGGAAGAGCACTTTGCTTTTCTCGATGTTCAATTACAGGCTGAGCTTCTCGTATGCTTCTGCAAAGGTGCTTAGAGAGGCTTGTAGGTCTTCTTCTGAATGCGCATAGATGACACTGTCATCAGCATATTGGAGTTCTATAACAGATGTTGATGTAATCTTGGTTTTGCATTTCAGTCTGCTGAGGTCAAATAGCTTGCCATCTGCCTGATAGATGATTTCCACTCCAGTGGGAAGCTTCCCATCAACAACATGAAGTATCATAGCGATGAAAGCCCTCAAGGATGGTAAAACACCAAAACATCCAGGCGTCCCCTGGGCAATGTCTTTGCAGGCGGCCAATTCTCTCATACCAGAAGCAACTTGGCAGTTTTTCAAGTCACCCCTGACATCGAAAAAAAAATCTCTACTGTAGACTTATTGCATTCTGGGGTAATAGTATGATAGCTGGGTCAGGAAGCTCTGAGCGTTACGGAGATGCTGCATCGCTCCTTCAGGAGCACTGTTTGTGCAAAAGAGACTTAGCTAATGTAAGCCATGTTGGAGACAGATAATATAGAAGGAATGTAAGAGTTCTATAATGGTGAAACCCTAACCCTTACCCTAATCCTGAACCATATCATAAGCCTAAGCAACCCCTTACCCAACCCCTAACCCTTACCCTAACCCAAACCCTAAACTTTACCCTAAACCTTACCCTAACCTAAACCTTACCCTAACCCTTACTCTAAGCATCCCTTCCTTTCTATCCTTCCTTCATTCTCCTTGCTCTCACTCCGCCTCCTCTCTTCCCTTATTCACAGCTACCTTTGCGGCATCTCCATAACATTCAGAGCTTCCGGACCCAGCTATCATATTATCACCCACTATGGTGCCACTTCAACTGCCATGCAGCCTGAGAGTTGTGGTTTGGGTTTTGTGTGTGTGTGTGAGGAGTGACTTGAGAAACTGCAAGTTGCTTCTGGTATAGAGAATTAACAGTCTGCAAGGATGTTGCTCAGGGAACACCCGCATGTTTTGATGTTTCTACCATCCTTGTGGTAGAGACTTGAGAAACTGCAAGTTGCTTCTGGTAGAGAGAATTGGCAGTCTGCAAGGACGTTGCCCAGCGGACACCCAGATGTTTTGATGTTTCTACCATCATTGTGGGAGGTTTCTCTCATGTCCCTGCATGTGGAACTGGAACTGACAAAGGGAGCTCATCCGTGCTCTCCCCGGATTCAAACCTCCATCCTGCTGGTCTTCAGACCTGCCTGCATAAGGGTTTAACCCATTGCACCACCGGGGGCTCCAATACACTTTGGCAGAAAAGGCTAGAATTCTCAGTGTTGAGGCCGACACTGGGCACCATAGGCTAGTGCTTTACTCAGCAGAAATCACTAGAATCTGCTGGTCTCCTAAGGGCTCTTGGGGGTCAGCTCCCAGAATCCCAAAGTTTCAGGGAACCAAAGTCCAACATATCCAGAAGACTAGAGTTTGTAGACAAAACTGGTTTAGACTCTTGGAGGGAGTTATTGGGTTTTCGGGGGGGGGGGGGGGGAGGTAAAAGATGAGTTCAAGAATCCCTCAGTTAGCATATTATTCTGGACACTCAATCAACAAAAAAGGAGTTTCTTTGATGGGTTGTTGTGAGTTTTTTGGCCTGTATGGCCATGTTCCAGTGGCATTCTCTCCTAACATTTCACCTTCATCTGTGACTGCAGCTTCATGGTTACCCATGCTATTCAAGTTCACTGACTGCAACATTCACACTTGCTTCAACAGACAAGGGTTCTTTCTCCCACCCTGAACCTTCCACAAATATATATACTCTCCACTTGCCTCACTGCCAACAGAAACTCTGAAGATACCAGCCAGATGCAAGCATAATGCTACAGGACATAATGCTACTGGAACGTGGCCATACAGCCCAAAAAACTCACAGCAACTCAGTGATTCTGGACATGAAAGCATTCAACAACACATATAGTTTCTTCTTTTCTTGAAAAGGGTTGTAACAACATGGTGGCAGACATCATGGCATAGTGGTTTGCTTGTTGGTCTCTAGGACTTAATGAGATCAGGATTCTTATTCCCCTTCAGTGATGGAAACCCACTGGGCAATCTTGGGCAAGTCTCAGTTTCTCACTCAGAAGGAGGCCATAGAAACCTCCTCTGAATAAACTCTGCCATGGCACCCTATAATTGTTTATTTGTTCAGTCGCTTCCGACTCTACATGACCTCATAAACCAGCCCATGTCACCACTCCCAACTCCTTCAAGGTCCCAGTTCCTTCAAGGTCACTTCAAGAACACCATCCACCGATCTTGCCCTTGGTCTGCCCCTCTTCTTTTTTTCCTTCCCTTTTCCCCAGCATCATTGTCTTCTCCAAGCCTTCTTGTATTCTCATTATGTGACCAAAGTACTTCATCTTGGCCTCTAATATTCTTCCCTCCAGTGAGCAGTCAAGCTTTATTTCCTGAAGTATGAACTGACCTGATCTTCTTGCGGTCCAAGACACTCTCAGAATTTTCCTCCAGCATCACAGTTCAAAAGTATCTATCTTCCTTCACTCAGGCTTCCTATGGTCCAGCTCTCACATTTATAGGTTACTACAGGGAATACCATTGCTTTAACTATGCAGATCTGGTTTGCCAGTGTGATGTCTCTACTCTTAAGTAATTTATCGAGATTGGTCATTGCTTTCCTCCCACGAAGTAAACGTCTTCTGATTTCCTGGCTGAAGTCTGTGTCTGCAGTAACCTTTGCACCTAGAAATACAAAGTCTGTCACTGCCTCCACGTTTTCTCCCTCTATTTGCCTGTTATCAATCAGTCTGGTTGCCATAATTTTGGCTTTTTTGATGTTTAACTGTAACCTTTTGCACTTTCTTCTTTCACCTTGTTTAGAAGGCTCCTCAGCTCTTCCTCACTTTCAGCTATCAAAGTGGTATCATCTGCACATCCAAGGTTGTTAATGTTTCTTCCAGCAATTTTAACTCCAGCTTTGAAGGAACATAATACCAGTCCTTGCTGACCCAGTTGGAGAGATGGGTAAAACAAGGCCAGGTTAGAGTTGCCATTTCAAGACCATCCTGAACCCAGAGGTTTTCACGTTGAAACTAG